TGCTCTGCTTTGTTTTGGTAGGGCCTAGCAGAAGTGCGGGGCCAGGCCCCCACCCCCTCGCACCCTCTACCCTCTTTGCCCCTCTGCTGCGCAGCCCACTAAAGTATTTCGCCGCTTGCAGCCCCCCCCCACCCCGAGGGGTAAGGCTGGCCCCCTTGGGTGAGACCCCGTTATCCACGGGGAGTAGGCAGAGGTGCTCCCTGCTGCCTGCACCCACCCCGGGGCAGAGGTGCCTGGGGAGCCTCAAAATCGCACTGCAGCAAAGCCTTGGGCTCTCGTTTGTGACAGCCCTCACCCTACAGGCACCGCGTCCCTGGGAGGGGGCAGCAGGAAAAAGGGCCTTTGTGAACATGGGGAGCCCAGATTTTGGGGAGACCCCCTGACTCTGTGAGGCAGAGACTGCAAGAAACACACCTTGCATCCTTGAGGCTGCAGCCTTGGAAGCCACCTGGGCTTCCCGGGATGCACAGGGCCACCACATAGAATCACTGAATCATCAAGTCCAACCGTTAACCTGGCACTGCCATCCCACCACTAAACCATGGCCCTAAGCACCTCGTCTCCCCGTCTTTTAAATACCTCCAGGGATGGGGGCTCCACCACTCACCTGGGCAGCCCATTCCAATGCTTGAGAACCCTTTTGGTGAAGAAATTTTTCCTAATGTCCAACCTAAACCTGCCCTGGCACAACTTGAGGCCATTTCCCCTCGTCCTATCACTTGTTACTTGGCAGAAGAGGCCGACCCTCACCTCACTGCAGCCTCCTGTCAGGCAGCTGTAGAGGGCGATAAGGTCTCCCCTCAGCCTCCTCTTCTCCAGGCTAAACAACCCCAGTTCCCTCAGCCGCTCCTCATCAGAGTTGTGCTCCAGCCCCCTCACCAGCTTCGTTGCCCTTCTCTGCACACGCTCCAGCACCTCAATGTCTGTCCCGTAGCGAGGAGCCCAAAACTGAACTCAGCATTTGAGGTGCGGCCTCACCAGTGCCGAGTACAGGGGCACGATCACTGCCCTGCTCCTGCTGGCCACACTATTACTGATAGAAGCCAGGATGCTATCACGGCCACCGGCACAGCCAGGAAGGGAGGGATGCCTGGAAAGAAGCCATCCAGCTTTAGGGGCGGCTCAAACTCCTTGGTCTGTGCCTTTTGCGCAGAGTATCTGTATATCAGCGGTCCGCTGGCTTTCTGCAGAGTCCCCGATAATCTGTATTTAATAGGACTGAAATTATAAAGCAAGCCCTGGGCTGTAAGGTGGTTCCCCTAAACTTGGCAGCGGAAGCCAAAACCCTTTTGAGCCTGCTTGTCTGCTTCAGTCTGAACGCAACTGAAGCCCAACTGCTCAAACCCTTCAGCTGAGCAGAGATGCTCTGCACTGCGCCTTCACCGGGCCATGCCACGGGACGTCTCTAGCTCTTCATTGGGGAGATACTCAACTCAAACCAGGCAGCAGCTTTGCTGGAAGCAGCCGGACGAAGGGCGAGGTGGGAATGCTGTGAGCACTCTGTAAGGTCTTACAGCGCCAGGACATCTTCGAAAGCCCCAGAAATACAAAAGTCCCCACATTGAAAGCTAAATAAATCCCCATGAACTGGGGGGAGGTGAATGAAGGAGGGGAGATAAATGAAGAGGGGAGAGGTTTGGTTTTCTTAAATAGGTGTCCGAAATGCTCCAGTGTTCTGGATGAACAGGGTTTGGACCTTGGCCAAACAAGCCAGGATGTGCAGCAAAACCAGCTGCTTCTGCTCCGGACCCAGGCGGAGCAATGGTGCTGCACCCGACCGTCAGCACACAGGCTGGCGAAGTGGAATGACCGGCTAGATGGCTTATGTCCTGCTCACCTCCGGGTCACACCTATGCAAGAGTGTCAGGTTAGCAGCAAGGGAGCAAAGGGCGGAGTGGTGGGACGGGGAACGTGCTCGACCCCCCCTCTAGCACCATTTCATTCTGACCGAGTCCGAATGCATTTTCTTGGCAGAGTCTACAAATCAACTCCGCGACTCAAGAGCTGGGTGCAGGAGCTAGAGGGAAATGCACGGGGGAGATAAAAGAGCATTTAAAGCCCACCCTCGGTCACCCATTAGGAGTAGCACCCTAAAAAGTGAGCAGCCATCCCTTGTCCTTTTGCAGGGCATCTTCTGAGGGGCAGGTTGGAGGTAGGGGATGGACACTCCCCCATCACGTCCAGCCATAGTTTGGGTCAGAAGGGACCTTTAAGGGTCATCCAGTCCAACCCCCCCCAGCAATCAGCAAGGAGAGATTCAACCAGGCCAGGTTGCTCAGAGCCCCGTCCAACCTGACTTTGAATGTTTCCAGGGATGGGGCAGCTCTGTTTTGGGAAGATGCACTGCAGCACCAACATGGCTGGACCCTCAGCCCTCCAGTTCGTACTGGTTCCCTTCCTGCTGTCTGCCAGATTAGGGCAGGCAATGAAACATCCTCCAAACGCAGCACCTCTCGGTCTGTACGGGCTTTTTCATGCAGGTTTGCACTCAGAGCCTCTCCAGCAAAGCCTCCAGTGTTGGGTTTTACTTAACCTGCAGGGACCGGAGCTGGGTAGAGGAGGCGGAAGGTCTCCGGGAGTTCATTAAGCGTGTTTAATGCTTGGATATACCCTCCTTAATTATTTCACACTAGCTGGGTAACACACCTCCCCGTGCTGAACGGCTTCGCTGTGTTACACCTGTGCTGCTGGCGGCAGGGTTCAGCTCTATAGGCAGGTGTTTGCTTGAACTGTTTAATTAATGTTTGCATAACTTGGTATCACCGTAACGTGCAGCACGTACATTGCAATGTTACAGGTCAGCATCCCTGCGGTGGGAATTTGGGCGGCTTCCATGCGGTGCCACAGTCCCTGGTGGGGAGGAGGGAGGCAGGGCAGGAGCCACCCCCGGGGGCACCCCCCACCCCAGGGTGCTGTGTTTGTCAAATGCACCCTTCTCTGTAAGCCCCCGGAGATCCTGAGGGCAAATTCCGGGTGCCCTGTGGGGCGGGGGGGAAGCTCCAGCCCGCCCAGCTCCAGGTACCATCATCTCCACGGCCCTGGGTTTGCATCCCCTGTGGTACCACAGGCACTGGTGGGTTAAGCTTCTTTATAACAAAACAAAATTATTTACTTATTCCCTTATTATCTACGTATTCGGCCTCCGGATGTGGTGGTGGGGGATCAGGATTCATCGGCTTGGTTATTTTCCACAGATAACCCCGTGACGCACCCAGCGCCATCTCAACCACCTGGAGATGTTTGGCTGAAACCCGTTAAGACGCCGCGCTGGGATGCGGCTGGTGCCCGCTCCCGGCTCGGGGCGAGCGCGTTGCTTCTGTGGAAAAGACAGACCCAGTCTATTCACGGAGGAGGACCGCCGCGGGACACGCTTCCTGACGTCACGTACACCTGAACGATGTCACAGGGACGTCGTGCTTTCGCATGAGGCGATACAAGAACCGCAGCCGAACGCCTTTGTGAGAAGTTGCGTGGATTTTATTAGGCCCCTCCCTCTCCTTTTGGTTTTTTAAACTACGACATAACATTAGCCGTTGCGACCCGTCAGTGGGGGCACTTCAATTTGCAAGAAACGCTGCCAGGTATTTTCTATATTCGGGGTTTTTTTTTCCCCCGCGGCCCAGCAGGCCGGGCC